CTTTAAAAAGTCCTCACAGTCAACAATTGAGAACTCCAATTCAGATATAATAGCATAGAAACTATCCTAAACTGTATAAATCACATTTCAGCATTTACTCAAAGAATAAAAATGAATTTACTCATATATAAACCCATATTCTTTATATAGTATTTATCTATAGTCATTAATATTTATGTGTGTATACATAAAACTTAGCCACTTAATCTCATTCATAGTACCTGTTCAGTATCCTACATCATTTGATTAAAAAACTGCTTAAAAAGCAATATGGTATCAGGAGTATAAAATGTACTGAAGTTCTGTCAAAACTGGTATAGGTTTATGTCTCTAAAACATGTAGATAGAAATTAATGACAAATTTTGTCAATAACGTCTATGTTTGAAATGTCAGCAATTGAAATAACTGATTCTATTGCCACATAATACTAGTAAATATCTTAAAGAAACCTATCGTGTTATTCTGAGGACCATATAATCTAAATTCATTACTGCTTCATCCTGAAGAACATACACTTACATTTTTAGATGGTTGGGGAAATAGCTTTTAATGTTTTCCACTGAATCCCATGGTATGGATCTCCAGAGTGTATCATAGCTTTAGAATATGTGCTGTTTGAAGATTCAGTCATATCAGATGGTATTCTGATAATGTATTATTCATGACTCATTTATGGACAACCATGTGGCAACATGAAAGCAAAACATTACAAAGCCACATGTATCAGAGAACCCTTTTGCAGAAAAATAACAGTTGAGGGCAATTAAGTTTAAAATAGGTGAAAAAATAATTTTAGGAGAATTTTTCTTTACTCTCGTGTTAGAACACTCCTTTAGGATAAAAACATAACCTAATCCCAATTCTATAAAGTTCTAATATGTAACACAGCATAGTTTCTCAGCATATTAAAGACTACTTAGCATTTCACTTATTTATATTATAATTAAAATTTTATTTCATAGTGTGATCTCTTAATCTTTGATTACACTTTGATTACAAATTCATATTTATAACTTAATAAGCAGAAAACTATAAATAAAGATAATTTGATAGGTTTTATAAGGGTAAGAGAAGAAGTATAAAAATTATTTGATACTGCTTAAAACTATGTACTTTAGGAAGAAATTTTTAAATTCTTCATCAAATCATGTTGAGATAGGAGCATGTATAGAGGGGGAACCTGTATTATATTCTAATCTCGTTTTTCTCTTGCTATTTCATCAAAGCAAATGCAATATTGTACTTCTCAATTAAAGATGGACTCTCCCAGAAAGTCATTTTGGATTTAATACACTACAGTCCCCCCGATTCACAGAGGATACATTCCAGGATCCCCAGTGGATACCTGAAACCATGGGTGGTACCAAATATTATATGTACAAAGTTTTATTTTCCTTAACACACTTATCTGTGATAAAGTTTAATTTGTAAATTAGGAATAGCAAGAAATTAATAATGACAGTCGATAATAAAATAGGATAATTATAACAATATACCAGAATAAAGTTTTATGAGTATGGTCTCCTTTCTCTCAAAATACCTCATCGTGCTGAATCATCATACTTTCTCCGCTTGTGATTCTGCACACTAACCTGATGCCCCTGTGATGAGATGAAGTGAGGTGAAGGGGAGACACTGTGACAGCATCAGGCCACTGCACAAGGGTCACCTGAGCATAGCCTTGTGATGATATGTCACTCGGGTAATGGGGAGAGCAACTGAGTGGCTAATGGGAGGGCAGCATGACCACACACATCTACTGAACAAAGGGATAACTCACTTTCTGGAAAGCAGAGAGCAGGAATAGTGAGATCTTTAACATGCCACTCAAAATGGTGCAAAATTTAAAGCTTATGAAATATTTACTTCTGGAATTTTCTGGGTAATTACAGTTAACCACAGGTAGCTGAAAATGTAGAAAATTAAGCCACAGATAAGAGGGACTGTTATAACTACTTTTTTCAGGCTATATGAGAACTACCTTGAAAAATTTTAATTGTGGAGTAATACAGCCTTTGCTTAATCTAGCTGTGCTTTTTAAAAACAGCAAATAAATCCCTATATTCTCATCATAAATCTCTTCAAGTTATATGCCATCAGCTCATTGAAGTTGAAAAAGTTAAGAACATACTATCCCACAAAATGCCACTTGGGCATACTGAATATTTAAGTTAAAGACACTTAAAAAACAATAGGTACAAAAGTCACCCTGCAGTTTCTTGAAAATAGGAGATGAAAATCTCATATACAAAAGGCAACATCCTTATGCCCAAGGCTGAGAAGTCTAGACCCCAAGTGTTCTGTACTGAGCTGGTTAAAGTAATTCTTCTCTTTTAAGCTATCCCACATAATTCAGTTGCTTCTTCATGATTCAATACTTTTTGTCCAAACCTGTATACACTGAATTGACTCAAGTGCTTCTTGGGGCTTCATTTCTGTATAGTGGCTCTTGTGCCGCATGCACTTTTTATTGTTTTCCTCCTGTTGATCTGTGTTATGTCAGCTTACTTCTCAGGCCTATCTTGGTTCCAGAGAAGATGGAAGTGGAGAGTTGCCCCTCCTGCTGACTGCTCCCTGTCCTCAAGGTGCCTGTGGCACTTCTTTAAACTCTCTTCTTCCCTTTGGCACCAGGCTCCTATTTGTTTATTGTGTCTCAGCTTCTCTAAAAAGTCTTTCTCCTAAATGTGTTCTGCTCTGCTCTCCTGTGTGCTCCCATAAAGCATAAAACATACAAAATATTCACAGAGCACCTCTTATGTGCAAAGTACCACCGTTAAGTGTCAAACAAGCAGAGTTGACTCCGGCTTCAGGGGCTGTACAGTCCAGCTGGGAAGAAGACTTCAAGCAATTAGAAATGATTAAGGAAATGATCGTAAGTGTTCACCATGTCCTAAAGGAGAAATAAAGGGAGATATGGAAATACGGAGTAGCAGCACCTAGCCAAGACTAATAGTTAAAGAAAATTAGGAAAACTGTGTCATACGTGGTCTAGGCAAAGAGAAGGAAAAACTGGATTCTAGGCAGAAGGGCAAACATGAATAAACACCTTGAGGTACGTGAGAGGAGGGAATGCATCACAGTTTAGAAAGAGGAAGAAAGGCTCTGCCCAATGCAAGTCCTGCAGCCCGTGTATTCACTCAGGACTCCCCAGTAGGCAGGCCCCATCTCCATCAAGGTTTTTTTGGCAGATCACACCCTCTTCCCCCACTCTGAGGCTCTCTCTGGACTTGGGTCTGATTGAGTTTGAGATGGGATTATTTCTTTTGAGCCTCAATGTCTGAACACTATATTATAGATACTACCAATTAACAACAAATGTGACTCACATAATTGCATTCCTAGCTTTGAATAATTTAAAAGCAGAAAGGCTAGGAAAATCGAAACACAGTAGTGAAGATTTACAATTTTTTTTTTCCCTAAGAAACTCAAAATCAGCTGCATCTGGATAAACGTATAACTTTCCATTGGCTGTTTTCTGTTTGTATTAAACAAATATTTAATTGTAGCAATTTATTGCTGAAAATGGCACTGCGCATTTCATATATTCAGCCAAGGTAGAACGGAGACGAGAAATGTTTACTCGATTACTTTTGTTGAGTTTGCACATTGAACTACTTGCCAATTATGACAGTTAACAAGGTTTTTCTTCAAAGGAAGAAAAAGATTTTACTACTTCAACTACTTCAACCTGGAAAATATATGCTAGAGTAAATCTCTGATACACTGTATTGCTAAGAAGGACATTTTGGTTAGAATTGCATAATGCCTATCGCATCCCTCCAAATGTGTATTAGCTATGAGGTTTGAATATGTGAGCCATGTGGATGCATCCCACTGCTCATACTATTCTAAGAAACTCAGAATACTCTCATCCTCCTCTGCCAAATAAAGGAGAGGCTTCATGGATAGAGGATGGGAGTTGAGTTTAATGATGGTGAAAGTGATGCCATATCCCACTCCCCCACCATGCCTTAATCCCCTAACTGTGCTGCCGGTGGCATGTGGGGACAATGGGAGAACCAGTCTGAAGACAAAATTTACACAGCAGGGCTGAGATCTGACTGAGCTGTGCCTGAAGGCTGCCCTCTCTCACTTGATTACTAAGGAAAGGTCCACATGCATTTCCTGTTATTAGTACTATCAAAAGCATCCAACACGTAAGAGTATCTTCCTGGTTGAAAATTGCATAATTGATCATGCATCTCTGCTTATCTTTTCGCCTTGGCCAAAGGCGAGAACAAAAGATAATTTGTCATCCAATATTTTAGGTATAATTTTATAGATTTTCATTAAGAAAAGACTTAAATACCCTTTGGTATCATTTCAACAGATACCAAAAAATATAGCAAAATAAAAACTTGTAAATTAAGTAAGTAAAGTGATTAAACATTGAGATTATAGATGAAAATCACTGAACACCCTTAAAGAGTACATGTAAAGCAGTAGATTCTTCTGTGGCTTAAAATATAAATCAATCTCTCTCTCTCTCTCTCTCTCTCTCTCACACACACACACACACACACACACACGGAAAGTTGGTATTTTATTTCTTTACATGTGAGTGTTCAGTTGACAGCCCATGGCCCAAATCAAGACCATATTTGTTTGTTTATTTGCAGTCAATATTTGAACAGATACATTATAAAATACTTGCTGCTTGATGTGGCAAAAATGAGCCAGAGATGAAGAATACCTAGTCACTTTAGGCCACCAATGAGTACTCAGTTTTGATTACCTTAGACATGGTCCAGTTCACTCATTTTATACCTTGTCTCTGTAAGATGTTTAGATTTGTGACCTTTGAGTTATGTGCACCTGTTAAGGTTTTAATAGCTAAGTACAGCCTTATTTGATATACAGGGAGAAAAAAAAACTGACAGAAATCTAAAAAGAACAGCACAAAAGTAATTAACTATTTCAGATAAGTAAAAGCCTTAAACAAGCCCTTTCATATCCTTGGTGATAAGAGCCTTAACTACCAAATCGGCGCATATCTTACCTGTAGGTCTTTTTCTTCTATCTTCTTTTGGAGCACTTTAAGGCACTTGGTAAAGTCAGTGTGGTCCTGATCTGGAGTTGAAAGAAGCTCACACCCCTAATGAATTGAAGAAAGAGAAATGTAAGAATCAGTAAAGTCTTTAGCCTCATAAACAAGAGCCAGAGCTGTACCACGGGCATCAGCAGACATTATGTATGATTTCTCTGTAATCAGAATCATCATCATCATCTTTTTATTTCCCAGGAATGAGGTTAATATACTACAACATTCCAATTACACTAATGTAGCATAACCTGTGCTCTTCTTGGGGCGAATGATTGCTCCAAGAAGGGTACAGGTCATACAACATAAATTGTCTTGAAAAACACTGATGTGATGACATTCAAGATTAAAAGAATGACTTTGTACAAGTATAATAAATTATATGCATAGTGAAATTACATGAAATTAAAATGAAAGCATTTCTAAGAAAGTGTTTAGGGAATCTCATAAGTTTACTTAGATGGATGGAAAGACAAATTTTGAAAAAAAAAAGTAATGCTTAAATTTTACATTTTAAATAAAATTAAATTAGCTTTCCTGTTTACTTTCTTGATGGCCCAGTTTACCCCCGTGTGAAAAGCAGCACAACGAGGTGTTGTGCTGGCATAAATGCGTCTCGGATTCCCTTTCAGATATAATGAAGTGAATTTATAAGATTTTTGCCTTCTCTACAGCAGACGCCTTACCTGATGAAAAGCACTAAAATATAGTTACAAATATAAAGCCATCAAGTGCCAGTTCATTGGCACTGGTCAACTTAGATGGCCAAAGAAATCATTTCTGAAATGACACCTTCTTTCCCACTGTTGCACGGGGGCAAAGAGAGGTAAAACCAGAGCACGATGGGACATCCGACTTCTTAATTCAGAAGTAAAACAATTCCTGGACTCTGACAAACAGCTGAGTAAGGGAAAGTTAAATATAATCTAGTCTATAAAGTTGCCATTCAAAGAGTTCTCAAGGATACAAAACATTCGTACTGCCTCTTAAATTATTCTAAGGACCATTCTCGGTAGATTTAAAGGTTCTTCTGTTACCTCAAGGTCTCTTTAAACGCATCAAGCTCAACCTGTGCTTCACTCATTTATGACTGTCCTACAACGTAGTGACCAATGAAAAACTTAATTCCTCATCATTCAGAAATATATTACGCTCTAAAAGATGTATATGTCATCTTTACAAGATCATTGACATATACTTTCCTGACCCTAAGAGAACATTGCAATTCACTGTAATTGCTTAGGCAAGGGTATAAAGAAGTGACTAGTCACAGGCTAACATTTCTAGAAAAAATCTAAGCATATGCCACAGCATATAGGAATATTCTCAGGGCTGAAGAGATTAGAATATCACCAAATCAGACATGGTCAAACTGAAAGTTCCCTGAGGGCAGAAACTTGGTTGCATTTGTTAGTGTTTCTACTTCCTGGCATTGTTCTGCTGCATAGTAACTGTTCAATACATCTTTAAATAACCTTTCTTGAATATTACATATGTAGCCTATTAAATGTAGTGAACGTACACGGGCAAGGGGCTAGGACAACATAGCATCTTATTGTAAAATATAGCATTTACGACAATGGAAACCCATCTTTCTCTTTTAATGCTGATAGTAGAAACAATAAGAGAAATAAAACTTAACAGGCAAATAGAAATAGCAACAGATGATTAATAGATCCCTGTCTGCCTCACAGTTGCCTTCACAGAATCATCAGAGAGCACTATGGGGAAAACGACACTTGAACAGAACCCAAGAAATTACCTAGCGCCACAGCGATGCTACAGATTAAGAAAATAAAACAAGGGAAAACCATTGACTTGATGACCACTGGTCAACGAGGCAGCAATCAGCAGCAGTGAGGGGAGAGAAAATGGCCATCTTCACTCCCGGGAAGGGGGAAAGCATTCTTACAAATGGATGTTTTGTGACATTTCTAGAGTTGGTTCCATGAGGATGACACTTCCAAAAAAAAAAAAGGCACTAAAAACATGTAAACAAGAGTGGAATATCTCACTTTACCTCATCACTTGAAATGGACAAAGAGAAAAGCCCAGGTCAGGCAAAGGAGAAGAATGATTCATACTGAAAACTTCAGGACTCATCTACACCGAGAACATCTATAAACTCTAGCTGAGGCCTCGGACAGCCTTCCATAGCTTCTTGGGATTTTCACGAGTTTAAACGATTCTAACCTCAACAGAGATTGAGATTGAATTCACTGGAAGTGGAAAAAGTTCCAAACGGTCTCAACGGGCAGCTTTCAACACTTAGGAGGCCTGCAAAACAAAATAGGCCTCCCAGTGCCATCACAAACAGGCCTCTGGCCAAACAGAAATGTTTTCACTGCTTCCTGGGTCCTAAGGTAACCCATCAGAGGCGACAGGAGAAACAGGAGGCTGCAGACGAGAAGCACCAAGTTGCTGCAGGGAGAGAGACACGGAGAAACGCCATCAAGGACCAGGCAATGCCCACCTACGTGTCACACATTAATATTGATTTACAATTACTTACTAGATAAAATAAAACTAAACATCACTGTGGCATTGAGATTTTTCCAGTGAAAAATCTTAGTATTTAAAAAACTTGATATTTAAAAAAAAAACTCTTTACATTCACCAAATACCCAGAAAATACTGAAGTCAGGAGATTTGACCATGAGGAAAGACAAGACTTTCTAATAAATAGTTTGTAATATTAGCTTCCTAATTAAAAAAACATGGTTTATCTCAAAATATACAGAATTCTATAATATATATAATTTTCCAAAAGCATAAAATATAAAACTCCAACCTTCTCATACCAAGGTTTGCGTGGAAACCTTTGCTTTAATCAGTACTTTGATTTTTTTTTTTAGTTGCATGAAACATTTTTTAGGACACAGAGAATTATTTTATGAGCCACCAGGTGGCTCCAATTTCTTTCTATACATATTTTGCATGCAGTTTTTGTCAATATACAAGTACAGTTTTAAATAACTCAAATCTAATAACACACTCCTTTGATGAGTACACCATTTTTCAAGATGGATTATTAATTTTAGTACTGCATTTTATTAATCTAGGTTCATAAAAATTAGTAAGATTTGGATCGATGTCAAAAAGTTCAGCATATGTTAATATCAAGGTTATTCTGTTTTTGTTCTAACCTTTAAAAATATTTTAAAGTAAGGAACAACAATGCCATCCCCAACCCTCCACTCCCAATATGCTTTCAAAAACATACACACTTTAAAGGAAAAGCAGGAAGAACAGAGAAAGTTAAAATGACAACTTTAAAATTCTGTTCCAGTATGATGAATTGACTGTAGTCTGCTTTATCAGACAGCTCTTACCCCACAAATCTAAATCAGGAAAAGCCATATATAGTTATAAAGAAACTACCAGAGGTCCAACCAATATTTTTAAGGGCTTATTATTATGTTTGCTGCTTTATTGAATAATACTGTATACAGAAGAGGTAGGCATCCACCAGTAGAAAAGGTAAGTGAATATCATAATACTACATATAAAATACATAATACATATAAAATACAAATATATTTATGTGTTCATCTGTAAAACAGACAGAGGCTCCTTTTCTTCCTCTTCTCATACTGAGAAATTCTTAGCAAACACCCACATCTAGTAAGTAATTGAAAGAAGGTCAGTCTTGAATTCATCCCTGAATTGTTCCCTTTCTTTTGGCTAGCAGAGTAGGCATTTGAAATTCCATTTGGATTTTGGGATCCAGCTACATCCCTTAAAACAGAGCTTTATTGGGAAACCCTGTACTTGGGAATAAGTATGCCACTATCAATACTGAAGCAGTCCGCACCTATCCTTGGGTCTGTTCAGTTAGACAGACTGCAAAGGGAGATAGTTCATCACGGCACCAGAAGGTGAAAGGCCATATTGAAAAATAACTTATAAAAAGTATCTCAGGTTTACTCATCATTTTATGATTCATACATATATAAGGATATAATTAGTTTTCAAGCAAAAGAAATCACTTAGCTTATTTCAAAATATACAGACATCTTCCACAAGCATAAAATATAAAACTCCAATCTTCTCATACCAAGGTTTGAGTAGAAACATTTGCTTTAATCAGTACTTTGATTTTTTTTAGTTGCATAAAATATTGTTTAGGACATGTTTTTTAATTAGGAAGCTAATTATTGACCATTTACTATTATTTAGTCATGATGTATACATGAAAAGAGTATCAAAGACTCCCAGGGTTGGAAAAGCAATAAATGATATCAAATCAACAAAAGTTTCAAGAAATTTGAAAAGATGCTGATGAAATTAATATGAAGGAATAAAGAATCAAGAAAAGCAAAGGCAATTTGGCTCAAAGGAGGTGGCTGAACTCGCCTTTCTGGGTATTCAGGTTTAAGGAGCTGTTGTAACTAACAAAAATGGTATGGGCAAAATGAAACACTGGAAGATCAGCACCACAGGGCAGAGAGACAAGCCCACATCGAGGAAAGCTGTCTTCCAGGAACCACTCAGTGACTGGCACCCCATAAGCACACTATACACAGCTGTTGAATGACTAGCTGAACAAGAAGACAGAAACAGACTCATACATATTGGAAACTTAATAGCAAAGTCTAAAACCATTCATAGGAAAATAAAGTAGAAAATGATAGGACCTAGGTGTAGTACAGGTCATTTCTTAAGTAAGATAGGAAAAAATTAACAAAGCCTACTACTTTATATTAGGAACTTGTTCACCAAAAAGCAACATGAATAAAGCAAAAACAAGTAAATTTTACAATGAAAGAGGATAATTCCTACACACATAAGTAAAAGAGTGTTACTATCCAAAATATATAAAGAAGTCCTAAGAATGTGTAATGAATAAATAATTGGTTGAAACATAAGCAGAGTATTTTAATAGGCAAATTATAGAAAGGTAAACCTGAAAAAGCCAATGACCCTGAAAAGCTGTTGATTTTTTTACTCATAATCATAACAATGAAAATGAAAAATTAAATTGGCATACATGTCACACACCTCACTAATAACAAAATGGTGACATACTCAACCATTGTAACATTCTGTCAGTG